GGCCTCTCTGGCTCAGAGAGGCTGAGTGACGGCCCAGAGTCACACAGCAGCAAACAGCGGAGCTGGGACTTGGACCCGTGCTCTATCCACTACACCCCGCTGCCGCTCATGGAGAAGAGGCAGGGTAGTGTAATGGAGAGAGTGCGGGCCGAGTGGCAGACAGGGCCTTCTGCTGTCATGGTGTCGTCTTAGGCTCCCTGAGGTGGTGGCCATGGTGGCAGGTCCGGCTCTCGGCTGGGCCTGGCCTTCCACTTGGCGGGGTGAGCAGCAGGCATGGGAGGTGGGCAGAGTCCCCAGAGGGCTTACTGATGTCTTGTGCAACCTTGTGCTGTCACTACTCTGGCTGGGGGGGGAACGGAGGCTGGTGGGGGTCCTGCCTGTGGGATGCTCCCCCACCCTGGCCCCCGGCTTCAGCCCCCTCCTCTGATACCCAGCTGCTGTCTACTGTCTCCAGTGGAAGCTGATGCAGGGGCTTCCGATGGGCCACGCTGCCGGGTGACAGTCCCTGCGGACCCTGGAGGTGAGCTGGGCTTGGGCAGATCCCAGGGCTGGGGGGACCAAGGGGCGGGGTTCATCTCCGGCTCTGCCTCTGCCCCCTGTGTGGTCTGACACCCCTTCCCTGGGTGTCAGTTTCTTCGGCTTCAATTTGGGACAAGACCAGAGTTTTCTAGGGGATATTTGAATCCCCTGAAATGCTGCAAAATCCCAAGTCTGGACATCTCTTTCTTGTAAGAGGGATCATTGCTTCTGGGGGGACTCTCATGGGGGTCATGGTCGACAAGCATTCATAAAAATAGAAATAACCAAAAACCAAGACAAAACACTGGTCTTTCATGAAAGGCAAAGCAAAGATGAGGGGCTGTTTCAAGTTCAGGGGGGCTGGAGAGACAAGAGAGATTTCAAGAGTCCTGCAGGCCTGCTGGGTGTACATCTATAATCCCAGCGACCCAGGAGGCTGAGGCAGGAGGATTGCAAGTTTGAGGCCAGCCTCAGTGACTTAGTGACTTAGCAGGGCCCTGAGCAAATTTTAGTGAGACCCTGTTTCGAAAATGAAAAATATAAAGGGCTTGGGATTTGTGGTAAAGCGCCCCTGGGTTAAATTCCTGGTACCAAAAAAAAAAAAAAAAAAAAATGTCCTGCAGGCCCTGCATCCCATACCCTGTGCTGGTGGGACAGGGACAATCAGTGGAATGTGATCGTGGATAGTTCATTAGGGAATAATTTCTTATCAATGTCAAGTTTCTGGATTGTGATGGCTGTGGCATGGTCACTTATGGGAATATAGTAGTTCTTGGCGATCCCCCTGCAGGGCTGAGGGAGAAGGGCCACATCCCTGCAGGAGGGGAGAGACTGAACGGGAGCCCATCACTACGATCATACCCGGGTTCTCCTTGTACCATTTTTTGCCACGTTTCTGGAAATTTAAAATGGTCTTAAAATACAAAGCTGAGAAGATAAATAGACCCAGGTCAGAGTTTGCTCTCCAGGGACCATCTGATGTTTGACCACAAGAAAAAAATCAGAATTCCGTCAATTCTTGAACACTGGGGGACAGTGCAGAACATCTGGATTTCTGGTTCTTGCCAAGTGAGCTCTGTGGCCACCCAGGGTGGTGCCTGGGGCAGCTGTGTCCTTGCTGGGCTTTCCCACAGATGTGGGGTCGGAGATTCCTGAACCTTCCTCCCCCGGCCAGTCTGCAGATATGTGGGACTTGGGCTTGCACAGGACTGTCCGTCATGGGGGACAGTGCGTGACTGCCTGAGCCTTCCGTCTTGTCTGTGCGCCCCAGGTCTGTGGCATTTGGAAAGGACAGTCACCTCCATGCATGCCTGTGGTCCCCACAGTGGCCCTGCAGGGTAAGTGACAGGGGTCATTGCACAGACACAGAGATGGAGGCTCAGCGGGGGTGAGGGCCCTGCTCGGGGTCCCAGGCCAAGTGCGGCTGGGACAACTGACTACAACTGGAGTGTTCTTTGCCTTCTGTAAAGCAAACCAACGTGTCGGACGTCCCTAGGCGGTGTCTGAAGCACCATGAGGACCCTGTGAGTGCCCGCAGACTTGTCCCTCCGTTTCTCAAGGGCTCAGCATGGCCTCTTTGCAGAGGTAAGTGGCTGATGGTTTCTGGTTATTCACAAAAATTAGCCTCCATATTTGTTCTGCAGGGGCTCTGGGCCTGGGGAAGATGGCAACCAGGAAGACCCGCCCCCTGGAAGAAGCTGGAGTCGGGAGGACCTGCAGGGTGGAGTGGAGTGGGCAGCCCAGAGGGGCAGGAAAGGGCAGATATTGAGATAAAGAAGACAGGGCAAAGGATACTTCTGAAGACTCCATATGTCCACACACCCTCTCCCACTGGGGTTAACAAAACCCATTTTAGACATGAGGAAACAGAGGCCCAGAGAGGGTAAGAAGATTGTCTGGAGTCTCTAGCCAAGGAGGGCAGATATGGGGTAGGAACCCAGGACTGTTTTACCCCTGATTCCAGGCTCCCCTCTGGGGACAGGGAAAGGAAACAATAAACATCTTAAATAGCTCTGTGCCAGCATGATGCTAGGGACTCCACCTCCATCTTATCACTAGTGCCATCCCTATCAGCCTCAAAGGTAAAACGAGGCTCAGAGAAGTGAAGCAACATGCCTGAGGCCACACAGCCAGTTCATCTCTCAGTGGCCATTTCACAGCCCTGCTCATACTCAGTGACAGGGAACTCACAGCCTTGTTGTCCCTGAACAATTCAGAATGTTCTAGAATTATTCTTTTTCCATATACACTCCTTCCTACTGGGCCAATTATACCTCTTCTGTTCCCTGGGAGCCTGGGTGGTCATCTGCCTTGGTCCCTCCTGGACACTGGGTTTCCACTCACCAGGCTGCAGGCTCATGTGCGCCCTGGGGTGATTCTGGGGATCCCGACTCTGCCCTCCCTGCGCTCATGGGCTCTGAGCTCGCTGGGCACACTTCCCACAATGCACCAGGACAGACTTGCAGGCCAGGTGGCCAGACACCTGCCAGGTTCCCCAGCCTTCCGGGGGCAGTGTAAACCCTGGAACCCCCCGGGCTGGTAAGCACCCCTCCTGACCTCCCAGGAGGACATCCCTGCAGATATGTGGGACTTGGGCTTGCACAGGACTGTCCGTCATGGGGGACAGTGCGTGACTGCCTGAGCCTTCCCACTGCACACAGCGCCCCAGGTCTGGGGGGACCAAGGAGGTACCCTGGTGGGTACCTCCTGACAGGCAGAGGCTACAGCCTCCTCCTACGTAGTCTTCCAGCTAATTGGACAGATCAAGACCAAAGCCTGGGTTCAACATGGGCTCAGAGACTCCAAGTGGCTTCCTGGGTCACCCCTCTGTCGTCTCTGTGCTCACAAGCCACCTACTCCTGAGCCGACGCCAGCCTGAGATTCACAGGACTCACCCAGACCCCTACGGAGACCTGGAGGGCCCTGTATTTGTCCCCAGTCCCCAACCCAGGGGGGAGGAGCCTCCAGGGTCTAAGGGCCACTAGGCCTCAGCTCTCTTGTGGGATCCCTTGGCCTCTGGGGGCTTCTGGCTCCCCAGAGTCATCCACAGCCCCTCCTCAGTTATGAGGCTTCTCCTGGGCAGGAAGAAGGGACGCAGAGATGGAGAGATGCTCCCCAAGCCACTGGGATTCCCCACAGCTCCCCACAGCTCCTCTTTTGTCTCCTGCCCTGGTTTTCTCCTCTGCCTTCAACACTGTTGAGGATTTGGCCTCTCTGCTGCCTTTGGGCCCTCCCGTCTCTGCTCAGAGTCCTGGGATTCACCTGGGCTGGCTGCCTGGCTTCCCGTCCATCTCTGTGCATCTGCCTTTTCCAGGGTCTCTCTGCACCTGTGCCGACCTCTCTGGCTGGTTTGTGATGCTGTCAAGCCAGCGATTCTGGACATTTTCTCTCTCGGGGCCCCTGCCAGCATCCTCCCTTCCCATTCCTTCTCCAAACTCTCTGGAACCTTCATTGTCCGTCCACTCAGGCCCATGCCTTCCCGCGGCTCTTGCGGAACAGATGACTCACCCAGATGCTTCCCCCAAGGATGCTCGCCTTGCCAACCACCTCATCCCAGAGGTCAGAGCCAGGGCCGAGGGGCTGTGACCATCTCTTGAGGTCTCATGTGACCCTGAGTTCCCAAGAGACGGTACTTAGGACCTTCCGTGGTTGCTCATTCAGACCCCAGGGCCTTTGCACTGCTGTTCCTCTGTCATGGATGACATTTTCAGTGTTCCACTTTTACAAAGCCCCTCAGAGAGGCCTTCCCTGAGCAGCTGAGGTCCTGACCCCCTTCCTCAGGGCCTCTTTCTCACTACAATGGTCTGTCTTCATCTAATAAGTCATTATCTATAATAAAGTCACCTATTTGTTCCTGGTAGCCCTGTCTCTGACAGGCTGGCTCTTCCTTACCCGGCTCAGCTCACATGTGGCCTCCACAAGAGGCTGTCCCTAACCTCTCCACACCCCATCCTCGTGTCCTGCTGGTTTTCTTCATACACCTGTCACTCTGGGCATGTCCACTTGGCCTCCCTCTCTCAATTCACCACAGGCTCTACAGGACTGGCCTTGCCTGCCTCAGCCACTGCGGTAGCCCCAGCACCTACCACGGGGAGCCAGGAGCACACTAAGTGCCTGCAAAGATTGTCACCAGATGGATTCTTTCTCATGCCTGATGAGAAAGCGTTGGTGTTTGGCTTTTGAGTAATCCAAGTCACTAGAAGGTACGTTCCACGGGACGAGGGGTCACTTTGAAGTGACTGTGACAAGGTTGACTTTCTGCACTGTGCTAGCTCCAAGGTTCAGAGCATCACCAGGTGCCCAGGAGGCTCACTGTAAGTTTCCTGGGGTGAAGGGACGGCCTTCTCATTGAGGCCTGAGCTTCAGAGAGCCCAGAGGCCAGGACCACGGTCCCTGAGCTCCTTTGGCCTCATGAAGGGGACACTCAGGCATCGCCCTCCTTGTGGGGGTGGGAACCAGCCCACTGTGGGGCCGCAGCTCACCTGACAGCAGCATGGGGTCTTTGTCCACGGACTTGCGCACCTGGTCAGACTCCCCTGTCAGGGAGCTTTCGTCGATCTTGAGGTCATTGCCCTGGATGAAGAGGCCGTCTGCAGGGAGGAGGTCACCTGGTGGAGGAAGGACAGGGGAGTTGGCCAGCCGTCTCAGGTGGTCAGAGAGACTGGGACAGTCCATGGTGCAGGAAGGTTCTCTGCTGAGGACCGGATGCCTAGAGCTCCCGGGGTGCCTGAACCAAGATGGCGCCCACCACAGGCCAAGGCGTAGCTCAGGACTGGGGCCAAGTGAATGGTGCAAGATCTGGGGAGCAGAGGTTGGGCCCAGTGATACTGCAAACACAATTGGGCAGGTACTTCACAAAGTGCTTCTGTTGGCCTGGCCTGGAGTGGGAGCCCAGGTGGTTTTCTCCATGATTCACCCTTTTCCAGTCTCAGCCATGCTTGGGGAGATTCTTTTGGATGAGACCAGTCTGACTTGGGTAGGCTGAGGGGATCCCCAACCAAGGCACCTCATCCGGGGAATCAAGCCCTCTCAGCCGAGGGAGAAGGGGCGCTCTTCTCCCTGCCCCATGGTCTGCCTCTATTTACCCAGAACATATCTAGTCAGACTCTCTTTGGTGGCTCCTGCCCACTTTCTTGCTGGTAGTATTATAGGGCCAGAATATTTGCTCATCTACTCCTGCTTCCTCTAACACCTCCGCTAGCCAGCGACCTCCCACCACAGCCAAACCAGGGATGGGAAATAGATCTCATCTCACAAACCCCTTCGGAGTAGAAATGGTCCTTGGAATGTTGTGTTGAGAAGGCTTCAGAGCTGTCCCCAGTCTCTGGGCTGTGATCACTTGGTAATATCTGCTACGGGTGGGAGTTTGGACAGAAGGGATGCATGTGCTAAGTACTTGCCATTTCTGATCTAAATGGGTTCTGGTGTCCCATCTCTTCTAGGATTTCAAGGACCCTGGAGCACAGCCTGGCTTGGGATGTGTTCAGGGACCCTGCCCTGGTTCAGCCGCTCTCTGCCTCTGCCTGGCCTGTCCCACCTCTGTCCAGACTCCCGGCTTTTGAATGTGGCTCACCGTATTTGATCTGGGCGATGTCCCCCACCACGATCTCAGCCACGGGGATCTGGACCACCTGGCCAGCCCGGACCACCGTGAACTTCTGCTCCTGCTCAATGCGACTCTGCAGGCCCCGGAACTGTTTCTCTTTGCTCCAGTCATTGAAGGCTGTGACCAGGACCACGCAGATGACGGACAGGAGGATGGCGGCCCCCTCGATCCAACCTGCTTCTGCCTCTCCTTCATCCTCGGCCCCGGCCTGGGCCGTGGCACATCCTACAGGGAGAGCAGAAGGGGTCAGCAAGGTAGAAAGGGCCTCTTGGCCTGGGTTTAAAGTCCAGCTCAAGTAACAAATATTAATAACCAGATGACAATAATCCATTTGTTCAGCGGGTGCCAAGCTGGGGGCCAAGAGCTTCCTGTGGCTCAAATCATAAAAGACTCTGCCCATTTCACTGAGGTGGAAGACGAGGGTTCTCGCTCAAGCTAGGAAGGGCAGGTAGGGAGCTCAGATGTGACCTCACGCAGTGTGGCTCAGGGCCCGTTATCTCAGCCACTTCAGTTTCCTGCCTCCCCTCTCCAAACCTCAGCTTTCTCCTCTGTAAAATGGGAGGCATATTCTTTATCTCAGTGGCCTATTGTGAAGGTTGAAATTTAATGAAGGTTTTGAGATCTTGCACGGCCTGGCACAGACGGGTCCCTCTCCTCCACTTACATCCAAAATGGGGCCTAATTTATGAGAAAAGTGAAAAAGTAAGGTTGAGAGAGAAGGAAGGCAACCAGTATTTGCCAAAAAAGGGTAATTTTGTTCATATCCCCTCTTTTTGATCATTCAACAATGGTGAGACAGACCTCCAGGCAGTGGGGACAGCAGGGTGGTGGTGGGGTGAGGGGATAAGAACCACAGTCCTGGGCCTGCCTTCCAGTGCTCTGAGTGACCTTGGGTGACCCTGGGTGAGTCTGTCCTCCCTTGGCTTCAGGGGCCTCATCTGGGCTCAGCACACGGGGCTTCTCACCCAGCCCCTGTTGGATGACAGCTGAGCACGGGCCCCACTGCACAGTGAGGACTCCGACTCAGGCTGCAGGCTGCCTGTTTGACCCGCAGTGACCCAGAATCCCATACCCTGGCACCACTGAACCTCCAAGCTGGGCCTTCTGATTGCTTGAGGGCTGCTAGGGCCCATGTGATGAACAGAGAAAGAAAACACAGGGTGCATCAAATCCAGGGCCTCAGACTTGGGTGCTCAATCCCTGCTGTGCTGAGGTGAAGTCTTCCTATCGTCTACTGGCCTGTACCCCAAAAGCATCCCGAGAGCGAGAGGTGTTCCCCCTTGTGCAGATGAAGAACATGAGGCCCAGAGAGGTGAGGTACCACGGCCAGCTGAGATCAGGCCTTTTTATCCTCTGGGAGTTGGAGAGCAGCCGTCTCCATGGAAGGGCCCCTGAGCAGTGTCTGACCATCCACCCCCGAGGAGCTCAGAGGGGCTCCCTTCCATGGGACCTAGACAGGCGGTGGGGAAATCTGCAAAGGCTACGGTGTGCCAAACATTGACTTTTACCCTCAAGCTGACTGAGAGAAGAACGGTGGTTCAGAGAAGAACAGCAACTCACCTGGGTTCATGCAGCAGATCTGGGATTTGCAACCAGGACCTGGAATCTGACATCAGACCAGGCCTGCCCACTGCCTCTGTCTGCCACATACGGGCCTTCCAAGGGAAGGTTACTAAAGACTCGTGGCTGACGGTCTAGAAGCCCAGTTTGGTCCCAGATAACAGTAGTTTCAAGAGACCCTAATAGAAGTTTCTGGAAAACCAGGGGTTAGAAGCAATATGATAAGAAGGCCACATGGGAGTGTTTGTGGCACTCTGCTCATGGGAGAGTCGGGGTTAGGCTGGCAGCCCCGAGCTCACGAAGGCAAAGCATCACTGTGGCCGAGCAACGTGTGCCACTGGAAAATTCCAGGTCTCAGGCTGCACCAGCTGCTTCCTGCAGGCCAGTCAATTATGTCACCATGTGGGGTTCTCAAAGCTACTTCTTCTCCCCCTTGGGAGTTTCAGGCATTTCCAATAACTTTAAACTGCTCAACCAGACCAGGCCCTGAGGGTAAGGTCATCACCGTTGTGCTAATGAGAACTGATGCTGGGCCAGCCCCGAGTTTGAATCCTAGCTGCACCACTTAGCTGCAGCATAGAATCCTATATTCTTCTCATATGCAAAATGAGGCTGATGATGGGTGTTCCTTCAAAAGGTGGTTGAGAGGGGGCTGGGGCTGTGGCTCAGTGGTAGAGCACTCGCCTAGCACATGCAAGGCCCTGGGTTCGATCCTCAGTACCACATAAAAATAAATAAAGTTATTGTGTCCAACTACAAGTACAAAACATAAATATTCTTTAAAAAAGGGTTGGAATGTGGCTCAGTGGTTGAGTACCCCTGGGTTCCATCCCCAGTACCAACAAACAAACAAAACATGAGAAACACAGATGCACCTTGCTAGATGAAGCTTAGCACACTTGGCCCTCTATATCGGTGAGTTCCAACCAACCAGAAGGAAAAATAATAAAGGAAAATAATTTGGGCTGCACTAGCATGCATAGTTTTTTTCGTTATTATTCCCGAAACAATACAGTATAACAACTATTCACCTAGCACTTACATTTTATTAGGTACCATAAGTCATTGAGAGACAATTTAAAGTATATGGGATAATGTGTGTATGGATTTTGGGCCAGTACCAGGACACTGTATAGAAGAGACTTTGCATCCTCGGGTTTGGTGGCCACATGGGTCCTGGAACTAATCTCCCATGGATCCTGAGGGGCGCCTATATTGAAATTCATTATTTTGGAGCTCAAGGGTGGACGGGGGAGTCGACATTAAGGATAGAAGCCTGCTGCTTTGTTTCACAGGACTTCTGGCGCCTGCCGCCTTTATGTGCTCTGTGATGGAGAGGCCATATCCCCTGTCCTGTGCTTCCTCCATGGGTCCCCATGACAGCAGTTACTGGAGGATTCGGATGCTCCCTGACCAGGCAGTAGAGAGCTTGTGGGCTCTGGAATGGGAAAGACCTGGCTTCAGTCCCAAGCTGTTCCGTGTGACTTGGCCTCTCTGAGCCCCGGTTTGGAAAGCTGTAAAGTGGGATGGCCCCAGGGCCTTGGGAATCCGGGGGCCGACCATATGTTGGACTGATAAATGTTGGTCCTCCCATTTCCAAGAGCCCCTCTTCTTGAACTGGCTCACATAAGCCCAGGGCATGGTGGTGGGGTCTGCACCCTGTTCTCTCAGCTCTCAGCCCTGTCTGCTGCCCTTGCTGATTCTATATTGAGGTGCCTCTGGGCCTTGAAGGGCACTCGCTCTGCCAGCAAAGATGGATTAGCTTCATCTCCTTTTGAGAACTGTCTGATGGTCCCATGGTGCCTCGGGACAGCCAGAAAGTAGATCCCTGAGGTGGGCCTTCAGCCACTCAGGAGCTGGAGGACCCTGGAAGCGACCCCTGTGCTCTGGTGCAAACAGGGTGAGAAGAGAAAGGAGGGAGGAGGCGGGTGGGCAGGTCCTGTGGAGTCTCCCCTGGGCCCTTGGACTGGGCTGGGGACAGGATTTGGAGACTGTGCCTTCAGGTACAAAGTGATGTGGGTGAGGGAATCACAGGCTGTGGAGTGTCCACAGTGTCCATAGCCCTTCTGATTGCTTTCTTGCTGGTGGCTGGGATTGCTTTACATAGCAGAAGCCACAGAGCCAGCCCTCAACCCCAGGTCTTCAAATCCTAAATTGGGGATCCTTCCGGACAGCTCACTCCCATCCAGCTGACCCAGTTCATCTTCCATGGTTTTGGGGAGAAAGGATAAGAGCCCTGAGTGCCCTGGAGTTGAACATTGTCAAACTAAGCAATGTCAACAGAGTAATGATGTCACTACCGGACAAGGGCACAGGTCAGTGAACAAATCTCGACTGACCCCTGACTATGGGCCAGATGCCGAGCTCCACTCCCTGCACACACTAATCGCATTCTGCACGGTCACTGTGCTGGGCAGGGGTCACCTGCCCCATTCTACAGACATGGAAAGTGAGGCGGCACAGGGAGGGTCACTTGCTGGGGACTCACTGTGCCTGGACATTGCTCCACGTTTTCCGTCTGCTGAGAGCAGGCCTCCTTCCTCGGGCGGGCGTGTGGTTGGTGGGGAACAGCCAGACCCCGGGGCTGCCCGGGTGTCGCATCCTTCTGCCTGCCCAAAACCTTTTCTTGGAAATGATCCCAGATGTGTGTGCCTTTCCTCTCTGGCCCTTTGAGACCGTCCCCACCCAGGGAAGCCCGAGGCCTGGCTTGGGGCCACTGTCCTCATCTCTGGGAACCATTCCAGGTAAGCATCCTCTCCTCCCGGGCTTTAGTCCCCTCACCTACCCAGAGGTGGCAGCTGGGGATACCACGTGCCTGGTTACCGTAAGAGCTGGGGGCTGCGTACATCAGCGCTCAGCATGGAAGATGGTGGTGGGTGAATGCGCCAGGTGCACACTGGGGACTTGGGAGAAGCTGTTGGGTGCTGTCCAGCTTTCCTGGGGACATGGTATAAAGAAACTGCCCGCTGCCTTCTCCCTCCCTCCCTCCCTCCTTCTGCCTGCAGGGCTCCATTCAGGTCTGCAGGAGAAGCAGAGGCCCCTCTCTGGCTCCAGTGGGCGTCCCCAGGAGCCATACCAAAGTGCGGCAGGCACGAGCGCCAGGCATGGGGATGTGGAAATTGTGGTCTAACCTGCTCCCACTGCCCCTCTCTGCTGTGCCGCAGAGGACCCCAGAGTTGGGTGCTGCACAAGATGCGCCTCCATCTACCCACAGATGCTGCAAGTCTGGGTCCCGAGTGCTGGCTCTGCTCGGGCTCTCCGGGACGTGCTCCAGGGTCCTGCATTCCCTCCAGTCCCCACAAGGGTCCCCCAGGGTAGCTTCCACCCCATTTTACAGCTGTAAACACTGAGGCTGGGAGCATCGGCATGCTGGCCTGTGATCTTGCATTAGACACATGGGACTGGGCCCTGAGCCCAGGCTCCCACCAGACTCTGGTGCCTCCTGGCAGTTGGCAGCTGGCGTTGAGACAAACCAAGGCCAGAGCCTGGGCTCTCAGGAGAAGGACCACCCTGTGGGGCTGTGGCACCTGCAGCTGCCTTGGACCCAGACCCTGGCCTGCATCAGGGCCCAGAGGCAGAAAGGGAAGAGGTGTGAAATCTCGCCTTGCTGCCTCCACCTCAGGGCCTCAGGCAGGTCCCTCCCTCCAGGGGCCTCATGTCTGCACCCCTGAGATGCATGCGATGGCGGCCAGCCCTGGAGCTGAGGGGCAGCTGTCCTGGAGCTCGATGCCCCATCCATGCTCCCCCCCTCCCTGCCAACACCTGCTCTCTGAGCTCTAGGCCTGCACACCATTGGGTCACACAAGGCCATCTGTCTGGGTGGCAGTGACTCAGTCCTGTCCCTCTCTGAGGAAATGCAGCCAAGGGACAAGAGCGAGGAGCCAGAACGCCTCCGTCTGAGTCATGGTACTGTTGCTTCCTCGCTGTGTGGTTTAGCCAGTCTTAGCATCCCAGGGCCTCGGTTTGCTGGGTAATAATAGGACCTACCCACAGGGCTGCTGTGAGGACTGAGGGTGAGAAATGGACTTCCACCACCACAGCTCCCAAGTAGTGGCAGCTATAAAAATGCCACAAATCTGATCATCACTATGTGTTTGTGTTGTTTCCTTAGGTTTTGTTCGAGGCTTATTCAAGTAGCTATATTTAATCTTCTTCTAGGTTTGCTTTGACATTTCTGCAGAGAAGGCTGCCCATCATGCATCTCTGAATAATGTCCTATGGGAACGTGCATCCCAGAATTCATTGTGAGGAAAAATGTCATCTTCCTCCTTGTGGACAACTTGAGCTATGCAAATCATCTGAATTCCCTTGCTTCCCTTGCTGCTGGGAAGCTCATGTCAAATGTAGATCTCAATCGTGGTAGCAATTATAGCTGGCTTATTTGCTTCCATCCTTTTCCTGTTGGCTTTCTGTGAGATGTGTCCCTCTTATGTCTTTATATCCACTATGGAAAAAATTCATGTGGGGAAAAATTTTATCATTATTTTATTATTATTTATTATTTTATTATTTTGTATAGGATTGAGGTAGTTATTATTTTATTATTATTTATTATTTTATTATTTTGTGTAGGATTGAGGTAGTTGGTCTAATACATCTGTTTATCCAGTTTCTTGAGCAACTTATGTTTGGGAGAGGGCAGAGCGGCACATGTTCAAGGCACCTCAGAGACTACATCTTTCATTGGAGAAAATGAGGCCCATTATGGTTATCTCTTACATATTATTAGCATTTTTTTTTTTGCTTGCCAGAAGCAGTGACTGTAGGATGACCCATGTACACAACACATTTGTTAGAAGATGCATCATTATCATTATAACAAAAGAAAGTGTTTGCAAGGTCTGATTGAAAAAAAGCACATTATAAAGTGATCAAACAACAAAGCAACGTATCTTACATAATCCCACGTATCCATGGAGTGTGTCTAGCTACCTGCCTGCCTCTATGTCACAGTGGGTTCTCTCTGGGTGGCAGGGTTACAGGTGGTTTTATTTTTCTGCTTTGTGCTTACCTACATTTTAGACTTTTCCTGTAGTGAGCTTGGATGGCTTTTGCACTATGTTAATTGTGTTTTTTTTTTCCTATTTAAGGAAATGTCTTTCAGGGAAAGTTTGAAGCCTTGGTCACCATAAAGGGGAGCGGGCATGGAGTCAGCGATCCTTTGGGACAGGACCACGGAGAGGGAGAGGTGCACAGGGACCAATAGGACACAAAAGAAGTGATCTGAGAAGGAGGACCAGGGCAGCCACAGCCCTGGAAGTGGCAGTCCAGCACCCACCACGAGACCCTTTCTTACCTCTGCACAGTAACCCTTTGAGAGAGGATCCCTTGTCCTGTTTTGCAGATGAGGAAACAGAGGATCAAAGAGGGTATGTGGCTCACGTAAGCAGGAAGCAATGGAGTGATTTAACCCAGGGGCATGTGACTTTGGAGGCTGGTTTTTTTTTGTTTGTTTGTTTTTTGTTTTTGGATGGTGGGGGGCAGTACTGGGAATTGAGCCCAGGGGTGCTCTACCACTGAGCTATATCCATAGCCGTTTTTCAATTTTATTTTGAGACAGAGTCTCACTAAGTTGCTGAGGCTGTCCTCTAACTTGTGATCCTCCTGCCTCAGCCTCCTGCGCAGCTGGGATCACTGAGATTACAGGTATGTACCACCACCCCTGGCCAGAGGTTATGCTTTTAATTACTTCATTTTATTTCCACACCCAGAAGGGAGTATTGGGGTACAGGGAGAGAGAGAGAGAGAGAGAGAGAGAGAGAGAGAGAGAGAGAGAGAGAGAGAGAGAGAAAGAGAAGGGTAGGTATCAAGACAAGGGTGGAAAGGGGAGAGAGACTGATAGAGAGAAAGATTTCAAAACTTCCCATCCCACTCTTCCTGGACAGAGGTAAAAAAGGCCCAACAGGAGGTACTTTAGGTCAGCCGTGCCCCCGCCAAGTGAAGGCCTCTGCAGGCAGGCGGAAGAGTAACAAGAACCATCGAGAATCATACAAGGACAGGGCCGCCCAGCCTTGGCCTGAGCAGCACAGTGTGCCAACCCCTGCTGCAGGAGGTGAGGTACAAGGAGTCACCTCCAAGATAAGCCAGTGACTTGGGGGTTCTGAGAAGAAACCCAGCTGGAGAGTCCCTCAGATGTTGGTGTGGCCCAAGGGCCGGGACCCATGAGGGACCCATGAACAGGGCTGAAGCACCATCAAGTCAGCGTGTCAGGAGTGCACAGGGCAGGGGGTTCAGGCTTTGTCCTCAGCGGTGAGTGCCGGGAGCCCTTGCAGAGCAGCCTGGATGGATGTCGGGGTCACCGTCACCCTGTCTGCAGCACCCATCTTCATGAACAGCATGTGACTGTCTCAGGAGGGACCTGGCCCTGGTGTCTAACAAACTCCACAGCAAACCCAAGGACTCTTTTTGGCTGGGTGCTGTGGTCTGGAAGGTCTGCCAGGCCCTTGCTTTGGGAACTTAATCCTCACATTCTCAACGGGACCTGGAGGTGAGGCTTTTGGGAGGTGATGAAGGTCATGAGGGCGGGGTTCCCGTGATGGCATTAGTGGCTATGAGAAGAGACCCGAGCTGGCAGCTTGCTCTGCCTCACTACTGAGTCCCCTCCGGCCACATTAGGATGTAGCAGGAAGGTCCTCACCAGACGGTACTGGACTTCCAGCCTCCAGAACCATGTGAAGTCAATTTCTTTTCTTTAGAAATGACCTCGCCTGTGACATTCTGTTGTAGCAACGTAAAACAGATACTGGGTAACCTGGAGCAAGTTAACCCACTTCTCTGTGCCTTGGTTTCCTTGTCTTTCAGATGGGCACAATGATGGCCCCTTGCTCACGGGGTGTCTGGAAGACAGCTCAGCTCAGAGCTTGGCACACTGTAAGTGCCTAATAAGTGCTCATGGTGATTGCTATTCCTGTTGGTCTGATCCTTGCATTTCACACAAAGGAAGACTGGATACTGAGGGCTTTAGACTGCTGCTCACTCGGTGCGTGTGAGGCCTCAGTTTCCTCATCTGGAAGCAGTGGTGGCCCTGGGCCCTGGGTGCCCTGCGGTGGGGGCACTGTGGCCAGGAGTGCATGCTCCATGCGGGGCGGGGATCAGGGGGTCTGAGGCCCCCGACCTACCTTCGTTGCTCTCGCCAGGCGGGTGGTAGAAGGACAGTCCCAGGGAGATGATGGCCGCAATTTCCAGGATGATGAGCGTCACATCCTGCAGGGCTTCCCACACGAGCTGCAGGAAGGTTTTTGGCTTCTTTGGAGGTATAAAGTTTTGCCCAAAAATCTGCTTCCTCTTTTCCAGGTCTGGGGCGGTGCCTGGTAAACCTGTGGACAGAGCACAGAGAGGTGGGCAGGGGTACCCTGGAGGGATGCATGTGTGTCCCCAGGAACTGTGGGGCGGAGTGGGGGGGAGCCAGCAGGAAAGTTCTTGGCACCTGACCCAGGGGCCCAGCACTTCTGTGTGCTTCAGGCTCTTGGTGGCTCCTGTCAAATGCCAGAGACACCAGGCAGTGGGCCGAATGGTCCAGCGAACACCAGGGCTCCGTCTTGCCTACCCTAAATGTGCTCAGAGCACCGACATCAGCCCCCAGCTGGGCAGAGCATCTCCCAGGGGCCTCTGTTACCATGAAGGACCGGGTACCTCCTGTGGTTATGGAAGGCTCCACTAGAGTGGGAACAGGAGGCTGTGCTGGGTGCCCCTGCACCATCGCCAAGGTGAACAGGGGTCAAGAATAGCCATGAGAACTGCATAAGATAATCCATGCAATCCAGGACAGGGCCAAGAGCAAGATAGGAGGTGACTTCCTTCATATGGAAGGTGCTAGAAGCCACGTTTGGTGGGTGGGAGATGCTCAGCTGGGCTGGACCAGGGCAGCGAGGAGCAGCCAGATGTTGGCCTCGTCATCCGGGGCCTGGATGGATGGCGCAGCCAGGTTCACTGCCAACTCACTACTTCTTCATTCCCAGATAGTTCCTCCAACCTCAAGAGCCCCCCACCCCACCTCCTTCCTGCTCAGCAATGGTGGGAAGCATCTCATTATCTTCTGGTAACTTCTGATCTATGCTGTGGCCCTAGCGGTCACCACTGAGCCTCACCCCATCAGGCCAGGCAAGTCAATGGCTGGGAAGGGCTTTCTGTGCCCTCTGTCTGTTGGCCCCCCATAGAGGTCAGCCCTTCGCATGTTGCTGTGTCGTTTTGTTTCTCTGTGACAGCTGTGCTGTCTCACTGCTCCTGCCTTTGTTCCTGTGGGCCAGGGACATCCTGTCCTGCCATCAACACCGGGTGCCGTCCTCAGCCTCTCTGAGCAGCCTCCCCTCCACCCCAGGTGGACAGCGGCCTCTGCCCTTACCTCTCCCCGGCCCTGATCACAGCAGGGCTTATGGGTTTGCTGGGCCAGTTGGTTTTGGGGGCAAAGACTGGTCTGATGCCTATTTCTCAGAGCTTGGCGCTGGAGGACATGGTGGAGAACGTAGCGCGAATAGCTGGGCATGCTCAGCCACATCTCCCCTGTGGCTTGATGACAGCTGGATGGGGACAGGGAGGGAAGAAAGGGACACAGACCTCTCACTGGACCTCAGGCCTCCAGCCTACTACTGAGAAGGGAGAACTGGAGGAAGCCCGGGGGCGGGGGGGCTGGAGTGCTCAGTTGTATTCAGGGGAACTTAGTGGATGAATATATGACATGGCGCTAGGACTCTAAGTCTGTAGTTCATTGGCTCATTCATCCATCCATTGGCTCAGTCTGTGTCTCTTTCTTTCTGGTACCAGGGGTGCTTAACCACTGAGCCACACTGCCAGCCCTTTTTATTTTTTCTTTTGAGACAGAGTCTGCCTAAATTGCTTAGGGCCTGGTTAAATGGCTGAGTCTGGCCTTGAACTTGCATCCTCCTGCCTCAGCCTCCTGAGCTGCTGGAATTACAGGAATGTGTCGCCACCCTGAGCTGGAGATCGGTCCCTGTGTCTGGAGCCCCTGCTGTGGCCAGCTTAGTGCTGGGCACTGGGGAGAGGTGTGCATGGGACATCCCTGTGGCTCATGGACACAGGAGCTCAGGGAGCTGGGAGTCTGGCAGCCTGGGGTTCAGGGGTGCAGGGCAACCGGCATGTTCCGTGTCTGGAATTCCAGGTGCAGAGCCTCCTCTGAGTGACTCCTCTGAGCCACAGTGAGTCCTCCATCGGGGGCCCGAGAGCCAGGGGGCTGAGACCCCAGGGGAGGACTGCACGTTCCCAGGAGGCCCTGCACCAGCCTCGCCTGCAGCATGGACGCTCTGGACAGCTCTTGTCCTGCTGTGCAGTGAGAACGAGGGAAGCCCCAGCCCAGGTGCGCCCATTTTATGGATGGGGGCCTGAGGCTTTCCAGACACCAAGCTGCTGCCTGGGGCTACTCTTGGGCTGTGCAAAAGGCCATTCCTGCCTGCTCAAAGCATGTGGCGATGTCTCCACGGTCCCCTGCTGCGGTGCCCATCAGGGGTAACACCTGTATTTGAAGCAGAGATTCTAGAAGCTGCAGGAATCTCCCTCCACGTGTCTGATTGTGCCCACAGCCAGGGCCTGAACTTCCTTGGGCTTTATACTTTCCACTAAAAGCTCTGATTCCTTTAGATGCCCAGAGGGGAGAAGCCATCATAGTTCTGGTCACCATGGTGTAAGAGCTCCAGGTCCCTCTCTGAGTGTGTTTTGATGGGGGAGGGAAGCTTGGGAGGGTGCTGGACCTCTGATGGAGAGGCCACGATGGCCAACACTAGCCTGGTGTGGCAGTGTGCTGTGCCTCAGGCCACTGACTTCCCTTCTCTGAGCCTCAGTTTCCTCATCTTGCTAACGGGGGAGTTCACCATGATGGGTGAGTCCCCAGGATCTTGGGGTTCCAAGGTTCGCAGGCCCTGAAGCGGTCCTGCTGGGCTCTGTTTTTACCTTTAGGGGGCTCTTTGTAAGGTCTGGTGTAAATAAAGGGCTTTGATCAGAAAAAGATGGGTGGGGGGCAGCTCCACTTCTCTCCCCACCCCCCCATGGGCAGAGACACGAGTCTCTGAATCTTGTGAGGCTCTCGGTTCAGATGCGCTGGAGCCTGGAGTGTGCATGGTTGGTTGGTTGCGCTCCCGGTTCCGAAAGTCAGGCCACAGCTCTGGGAGGTCTGTCGTGCTGGGGACCCACACACTAGGCCCTGCCATCTGAGGTCCTGGGACAGCAGACAGGGTGGGGACTCCAAATTCGAATAGCCGTAGGTGCTGGGCAGGTTTGGGGAGTGAGAGGAGTAGCTGGGTGGCAGACAGTGGGGAGTGGTGGGGACGGGGGCAAAGGGAACACTGACGCTTCTAAAGGGGCAGATGTTTCTAAGGGCTCTTGTGGGGGAGTATGTACCCAGCGAATCAGATCTTCCAACCCACGAGAAGGAGGACAGGAGGAACTTGACAGAACATCTCCCCAGTGAAAATATTTCAGAGCCAAATACAACAAATCTATGGGTGGGATTCTGCCCGAGGTTGCCAGTCTGAGACCCCCCAAGGCTGTGGGTCGGAAGAGGGGGAAGGCTGGGAGGGAGGGGCCAGGGCATAGAAACTTCTCTCTCTCTTCCTCCTCTTTTCTGGGCAGCACCCCACCTAACACCAGGCCCTGTCCTGTTCCCCACAGGCTTCTGGGGGCCTCCTGGGTTATTCCCATGGTCAAAACTAACAGGAAGTCTTCACAACGACAAATTCCCCAGAATATACACCCTCCAGTGGTTAGGCTCACAGGGTCTCCGAGATGGCTCATGGTAGGTCCTGGCATCTCACTCCTGGGCCACGTTGGAGCTGGGGATGCCAAGCCCCAAGAACTCAGGTGGGTTTGGACTTGGATATCCTGTGTTCAAATCCCAGGTGTGAGTTACTTTGAGTAAGTGATTTTTGCCCCTCGGTCCTCAGTTTCCTCATCTGCAAAACATAGGCAACAGCAGGGCCCACTTCCCAGGGTTCGGGTGCAGCTGCCGTCTCCACGTTCCATGTCAGGGCCAGACAGGGTCCCCACATGTGACATGAAGGGATGGTCTAGAAGCGGGTTGAGGGTGGGTGACTCTGGAACCTTGCAAGCAAAGACAGTGGCTTTGAGAACCTACAGATGGGGCGCTCGCCTGGTCCAGCCCCCCCTCCGTGTCCTTCCCAGGACCCTCAGGCTCCCCACCTTCCTGCTAGATACCGACGTACCTATTTTGGGGAGCAGACACAACAGAGACTGGGGTGAGGGATGAGTGGTGTCAGAGATTCAATTTAGATTGTGGAGCATCTCGCCACTTAGCATATTCAAAATTAATACAGTGTGTCCAATGTTCTTGGACACGCCAACAAGGGCCTAAAAATTCAGGAAAAATAATGCACAGGACAGAGGCTGCATGGGGTGTGGGTATTCAAGTGAGAAGTTTATTTTTATTTATTTTTATTTTGTGGTACTGGGGGTTGAAGCCAGCGGCTCTTCACTTACTGAGATTCATTCCCAGACCTTTCTTTCTTTTTTTTTTTTTTTTAATTTTGAGATAGGGCCTCAGTAAGTTGCTGAAGCTGGCCTGGAACTTGTGATCCTACTGCCTCGGCCTCCCAAGTTGCTGGGATTCCAGGCATGCGTTACTGGGCCTGACTGAATTTTCTCTCTATATATAATTACAGAGCACTGGGCGGGGAGTAGAGTTTGAGCCTTGATTCTACCACTGACTGGTGAGTGAAGCAACCCAAGGCCCCCCCACTTAAGGTCACACGGCAAGGAAAGAGAGAGAGACACACCCTTGGAGACTCAGTTTTCTTATCAATAAAATGGGAGGAAGTAACCCCTACGCTGTGGTGGGCCACTGTTAGAGGAATGGATGTGAATACTCTGGGCAAACGGTGGGAACACAATCTGTGTGCCTTCATGGAAAAAAAAAATTTCAGCTGTTGTCCAGATTCTTTTACTGGGGCCAGAATTTGGGTGTCCTGTCATTTATGTAAGAGAAGAAGGCCAGAGTGGGGGTTTCGGTTGTACAGAATCATTTGCTGTGATGGCTGCTTGCTGTCACTGGACATTTGAGGCGTGTACCTCCAGCTGTCCTGGACACTGATTGGGTTCTCTCCCAGCCTCTGAGCCCTCGCCCTGTCACCCCCGGTCTTCTGTTTCCAGTGAGTGGCTCCCTCTTCTTACTCATTTCAGACTCTACTTTGATGGCTGCTAATAGCTCTCTCAGGCTGTCAGAGGGTTTTTTTTTTTTTTTTTGGTTGGCCCAGTATTTCTTAAAAAAATGGGAAATTTTCACAAACATAAGAAATGCAAGCACTTCTAAATAGAAGTCCTCACGTTTGGCTCAGGGAGTCATGTGCCCCTACCT